TATATATTTCTATATATTTCTATATATGACTATATGTATATATATGTATGCATATTTTTGTAATAACATATACGATGAAATTTGTATTATTGTTATTTGTTTAATGCTTGAGATATACTCAGTATATATCTGCTGTTGACTTTCATTCATTGGGGTCAGTCATGTTCTCGATGACTAGGACGATGCGCGCGCGTGTATCGTCCCGAATGTCCTCTTCGTGTATCAGGTCAAGTTTTATGCACTCTTTGATAGATATAGAACTATTGGTCATACACGCTTGGAAACTACTTCCTGCAATTGTACCGAAATTTCATCACCACTCACCACCTATTTGTCGCGCGCGTAGGTGGCTGCTGATATCGCGGCGATAAAGCAAGCCCAGATCCGCAAACAAAAAGGCAGAGCGAGGCGCAGGAAGGATTCGAAACCGGACGCGCCTGCAGCTAATGAGCCTAATACGGTCCCAGCTGCGAATGACCCACCAACAGTACCGGGGACTGACGAAGATACAGCACAAGCCGCGGGAGAACAACCGGAAGTACCCCAGGCCGCGCCAGAGGTTCTAGAGGCGCCTAGTATACCAGGGGGTGGTATAGATGATAACAAGGACGATAATAATGATGGCCAGGGTGATGGCGAAGCGGGAGGTAATGCTGACACCCCCCCTATAGATGGAGGCACTGTGGCCGCTAGTGACCAATTAGACAAGGGCGATACGCAAGCTAATGCTGATGTACTTGCCGATAATGATGCACCCGCTAGTGAGGGTCCCTCTGGCGGGGATGCCGGTGAAGGCGTGGTTGATGAAATGGTTGACGATAATAATGCTGCTGATGACGACGTTGTCGACGCTCCGGCTGATGGTGACGATAAGAGAGTACCTGGCGACACGCTTGTCGGTGATGAGGATGAAGGTGCCGCCAATGAAGCACAAGACGCAGATGACACACTTGCTAGCGACGATGCTCCAGCCGATGATGGCACACGTGACCATGACGACGACGATGATGATGATGATGATGGTGATGATGATGATGATGATGGTGAGGATGATGATGATGATGATGATGATAATGATGATGATGATGATGATGATGATGATGATGATGGTGATGATGATGATGATGATAAGCTACCTGCTGATGATAACACTGTGGCTGGTGACAGCACAGAAGGCGAGGTCGATGCACCCGCCGTAGACGATACAGCCGCTGATAAGGCCCCGTCAGCTGATGATGATTATGCAGCCACGGATGATGGTGCAGATAAGAATGCCACTCCAGACAACAACGACACACTCGCCAAGGGAGCCGTCCTTGCCGACGATGGTACAGAGGCAGAGGGCAACCCAATCGCTGAAGATGATACACCTGATAATACCGACACGCGTGCTAGCGACGGTACGTTGGCCGATGATGACACGCTGGCCATCAATGATACATTAAAGAAGAACAACACGGTTGCCAATGGCAACGACACACCCACAGCGGAGACCGGCACACTGAGCGATGACGATACACGCGACAACAACGATGACACGCCCGCGAATGACGACACCCCCGACAACGATGACGCGGATGCTGATGATGACGACGATGATGATGACGTAGACGATACCGATGATGATGTTGACGACGACGCCGATGATGATGACGACAAAGATGCCGATGATGATGGTGAACTTTCCGACGATAATGGCACGCGTGATAATGAGGATACACTCAACGATAGAGATGTGACCGACGACGACCGTGTGGCTGCGGTTGTTGACACACCTGCCGACGACGCTAAACCTGACGACTTGATCGCCGACAAAGACAGTGTCGTAAACGACAACACCGTCGCAAACAATGGCAATGTCGCAAATCTCGACACAATCGTAGGCACAGACATACCCGCCAGTGATGCCGTACCTGTGGACGACGGAGATGTCAAACTCGGCAGTGATGACGTGCTTGCAAACACCGACGACACACTGGCCAAGGATGACGCAGACGTTGAAGGTGACGACACTCCAAAGGGTGACGATACACCAGACGAAACAGGAGGCGATGAATTAGCGGATGACGATATTCCGGTTGGTGACGATGCCAAAGCCATCGAGGTCATGTTCGCGGAGGATGATGAGGATGAGCCAAGCGATGACGAGGTCGCTGCCAAAGACGAAGTACCGGATGAACGAGATAATGATGACGCACCTGCCGATGACGACACACTCGCGAAGGGCGACGTACCTATTGAGGATGACACACCATCCGATGACGACACACCATCGGATGACGACAAAGACGTTGATAAGAACGCACTCGCCGATGAGAAGGCATTTGCTAACGCCGATTTACGCGCCGCTCACGATACGTCTGCCGATAGCGCTGAAACTGGCGGCGCCGACGAAACAAAGGGAGCTGCCGATAGTCTTGCTGATGGCGACAGCGTAGACAAGTTGGCCGACGATGGCGCAGTAGCCGATGAAGACGTACCTGCCTATAACGACAAACTGGCGCCCGCAGACGCGCTTGTTCCGGACGACACACGTGCCAAGGATAACTCACCAGTGAAGGGAGACGCAGGCGACATAGCTGATAAACGCGACGAAGCTGGTGGACTGGGCAATTCGGACAAACTCGCTACTGCCGACGCCTCTGTCGATGACCATAGAGACGCTGAAGGTGTCGCCTTGGCCAAGGATGATACACCTACGGAGGGCGTTGCTGATGCTGGAGATGACGCACCTGCCGATGGGGACGGGGTAGGCAGTGACGACAGAGACGACATGGAGCTGGACAGTTACTCGAAGGAGAAGCTGGCGCGGGAGAAGGCCCGAGAGAGGAGTCAACCACAGGAGAGTGTGATGGAACAGGCTCAACGGTGGAGCAGCGGTGCGTATGACCTGTCCATGAGCGCGTGGGAGGCTAGCAAGCAGGGGTACGAGACCACCTCCACGACGTTCAGCAATGGGGTGCAAACCTTCTCAGCCACTCTCGGGGGCGTGATAGAACATTACACGCTCCTGGAAGCCCTGTGTCAAGAGAATGACGACTTTCTGTACAATAGTGTGCTACTGCTGGCCGTGCCTGTACTGTTTCTGAGTCTTGTCCAGGCTCTGATCTTCCGGCTCTGCTCTGCTGGTGCGAGTAGGATCAGCAAAGGCTCACAACCCATCTCACTGGAGGTGGAGAGTGTCATGAACGGCCTCGAAGAGAAGGTCAAGTCCAGCGACGAGACTATCAAGAAACTGCGCAGCGAAGCCGAGCAGCGGAGCGGCGAACTCAGACTCGAGAAACAGGATAAGGAAACGGCCCAGGTCGAGTGCCAGCGGTTGACGGTGAAGCTGTCCGAGGCCAAGGCCAAGATCGAAACCATGCAGACACAGTTACTATCACACACACAGGCAGCCCCGTCGTCGCCGAACAATATGAGACCACTCAGTGCTGTGACACCTTTATCACCACGTCTCTCAGCCAAACGCACTGGCTCATTCACTGGCCGGTCTCCCGGGGCTTTCCCCCTGCCACCCCCTTCGGGGGCCATAAGCTCGACTCAACACAGCCCTCTCCCCAATTATATGGGTGGAGTTCGGGATAGTATGTCGGGCCTCAATATGCTGACTACTTCCATGAGTAGCGACAATACGAGCACTCACGGAACTGGGTGTGACGAGTGCCAGAGACAGGTGAAGCAGTACCAACGGGAGGCGGAGAAGGCCACCAGCAAGTTCGAGGATAAGGACCAAGAGCAGCAGATAGTACTGGGCAAGTACAAGGAGAAATTAGCCAAGATCTCTGAACTGGAAAGGACAGTCGAGAAACTGGAGAGTGAGCAATCGCGGGTTGAACGGGAGCAGCCACGGTCAGAGGTGGCCGCTGCTGTGGATCCTTCACAGTCGACTACGCAGGCGCTTATAGACAGTGAGGACATGGTGCCTATCCTGCAGAAGGAGATTGTCGCCCTGACTGTGGAGGTGAAGAAGAAGGCACAGACCATAGACAAGCTGACTGCGGAGGTCAGTAGTAAGGAGACGGAGCTCAGTGGACTGTACGAGGATGTGGAGAAAGCGCGTGCGAGGATCTCAGATGCCGACATCAAGCTGGGAGAGGTGAATACGGAGCACGACCTGAAACTCAGTAAGGCGTTGAGCGACTTACGTGACAGTGTGTTGAAGTACAACGAGGAGTGTCAGGCATCGAGTGACCTGAGACTGAAGCTTGAAGACAGGCAGCTGCAGATCAGTACGCTAGAGGCCGATTGTGCGAGACATCTGGAGAATTACAAGGTTCTGCAGGAGAGGCTCTCGGCAAACGATGCAATGATGTGTTCTTCCGAGGATTCGAAGTCGGAATGGCACGCAAACGCACCAGACACCAGCAATGAAGTGGCTCGGGGAAGGCACTCGCGCGCCGCTTCGAACCTATCACAGATTGATATAAACGACCTTGGTGATGGCGGGCGAGTTGACCTGGCTATAGAGACCAGTCATATGAACAAGTTCAACGACTTGCGAGCCAAGATGTCTGCGCTTGTACAGTCCAAAACCGCTTTGACAGCGAAGGTGGGCAGTCTGCAGAAGCAGCTGTCCGATGAACGCGCGCGGTATGAGGAGGCGAGCGTGGGCGCCACACGCCAACTGCAGGAGATGCAGGAAACACTAACGCACGCGCACGACGAGACGAAGCAGGCCGAGGATGCGCTGCGCGCGGCAGAGGAGCTACAGAAGGAGCTGATCAAAGAACAGAGGGAACTCAAGGTCAGGGTGGAGGAGAGTGGAGAAGAGCTTATTATCTACCAGGGCATAGTCAAGGAGGAGACGTCGGCGCTCAAGTCGAAGCTGGGCGAAGCGCTGGCCAAGGTTGACAATCTGAGTACCAAGCAGTCCTTTAGTGAGCAGCACGTGGTCACACTGGAGAAGGACGCGGCTGAGTTGAGAGCGAAGTACGACTACGCGGATAAGTCGGCCAAGAGACTGTCGTCTGAGTTGAAGATCGCACACGAGCGACTCCGCGCGCTGAGGTCCAACGCATCCTCGCGTCGGGGCTCCACAGAGAATCTGGCCAATCTGACGAACCACAGTGGGAGTGGGAGTGTGCGCGGCGCGCGAGGGGGACGCGGAAATGCGCGTGGCTCGATGCCCAGAGGTCGAGGGCAGAGGAGCCCGTCGTTCCAGCGATCACCCATGAGAACACCCACTGGTTCGCAGACCAAGCTGTTGTCAGGCAACGCGTCTACACGCGACTCCGAGTCGAGTCCAACGTCCTTCCAGGAACTAGCGGTGAGGACTCTGAAATCGCAAAGCCAGGAGATGCCAGACCTGTCCATCAGGCACGACTCGGTGGGGAATACAGTGTCTTTTGACCAATCTGCCAGATCCATGGGCTCCTCAAACCCGCATGCGCCCGGCGGGCCTACATATGACGCCGGTGCAAACCCGCCACCGTTCCAAAACTCACCGTTCAGTCCCTTTGGAATGCCAAGTCATCCGAGCGTCTCCGGTCCCGGTACAAATCCGCCGCCATTTCTCCCGACGACACCGAGGTCGCAGGGTCTACAGATGTCGAACGAGCCCACAAGGGATTCTGGACCTACCCCATCCTCGTACGAAAACTCGCCGATGAGAGAATTGGGACCACAGGGCCAAAATGTGCCAAACGTACCTACCTACACTCCTGGTGCCAATCCGCCACCATTTCTCCCGACGACACCAAGGTCGCAGGGTCAACAGATGTCGAACGAGCCCACAAGGGATTCTGGGCCTACCCCATCCTCGTACGAAAACTCGCCGATGAGAGAATTGGGACCACAGGGCCAAAATGTGCCAAACGTACCTACCTACACTCCTGGTGCCAATCCGCCACCATTCATCCCGACGACATCAAGGTCGCAGGGTAAACAGATGTCGGATGAGCCCGCAAGGGACTCTGGGGCAATTCCACCCCCGTTTGGAAGCTCGCCCATGCGAGACTTGGGACCACAAAACCAAAATGTCCCGAATGTGCCCACATACAATTCCGGTGCCAATCCTCCGCCGTTCCCGGCTCCGCCTGCAAGTCCTTTCGGATTAAAAAGTGGACAGGTGTCCAGTTTACCGATTTCCGAGGCCGGTGTGAACCCACAGTCCTTCCCGCATTCACCTATGAGTCGAATGGGATCTCAAAACCTGCAGGAGTCGAATGACCACACAACCGGGTCTGCTTCTAACCCGTCCCCTTTCCAAAGTTCACATTTCGGTCCGTTTGGAATGTCCAACAACCAGGGGCCGCCAAGTTCACCTTTCGCTCCATTTGGAGTGCCCAATCGCCAGGGGTCCAACCCACTTAGTACTGAGACCAATACGCTAGGCCAGCACGGGTTCCCGGGCGAGTCCAATGGGCATGCGCCTCCGCATGAGAGCAATCCACTGAGTAGAACTGGGTCACAAAGCCAACACGACAACTCAGGTGCGCCTCAGTCTTCGTTCCAGGGCTCACCGTTCACTCCATATGCTGTGCTGAGTCATCAGGAGCCAAATATACCGACTGAGACGGGAAATCAACAGATGACCAACGAATCTGCATACAATTCCGGTGCACCACCACCGAGCTCACCTTTCATCCCATTTGGAGTGCCGAACAATCAGGGATCGAATCCTCCTACTGGCGAGGCCAACATGCCGAGACAAGAGTCCGGTTTAAATCAGCCCCCCCCTGATAATGGCCCACTGCATGCAACTGGGTCACAAAGCGAACAGGGCAACTCTGGTGCGCCACCACCGCCATTCCAGAGTTCACCGTTCACTTCATTTGGAGTACCGAACAATCAGGGGTCGAATCCTCCTACCGGCGAGGCCAACATGCCGAGCCAAGAGTCTGGTGTATACCCACCTCCTGTTGAGCCTCCTGTTGAGAATAATCCACTGAGCAGAGCTGGGTCTCAAAGTCAACAGGACTTGCCTCTTGCGCCACCACCGTCTTTCCAGAGCTCACCG